GTACTTTTACCCTTAACTAATGGAGGAAAATGCTCTTCTGCTGGCAGAACTAACGATGCTTTCTTTCTGGGCAAACTTAGGCTATTTTGCTGTAACAGCCCCAGACAGCTGAGAAAGAGAATTAGAAAATTTGCCAAAATTAGTTAGATTGTGTCCCTCCTGGCTTCATGAATTTATGTCAGAGTAGCATCACCATAAAATGTATGCCTTTAGAGAAAGAAAGGATTCTGCTGTCTAGAAATAGCTTTGACTTCATTTTAAGGGTTTGATAGTCCACTGATGGATTTTCTAGCTATGCCTAATAGAGCCACTATTTCTGTGAGATTTTGATTGTCTCTTCCTCTATCACAGCAATTCTGACTTTCCTGCTGTACTTAATGAGGACTATTTTTTGTTCCAGTTTTCAAACACCATCTCATGTTACATTACACTTCCTGATAGTACTTCAAATGACCTAATAACTTTTCACATCAATGTGCCCGGCCAGGGAGGTATATGGGCATTAAGAAAGAACAGGTTTCATCTCAAAAGATCTAGCTGTAGGACATAACCAGTATTTGCCAGCTGGAATGGGAAAGTGTATATGGGATGGCATCCTGAGGGTTCAGAATAAAAGGGGATAGGATTTTAAGCTGGATAAAGACATCTCTCAATGTGGGAGCACTCCTCTACAATAGAGCATTTAACACATTATCAGGAACCCCAGAAGATGATGTTAACATTCAATGGCATTCTGAAAACTTGAATAAAGAGGGTTTATTTAAATGAAGTAGAAATGCCAGGATTGCTATGATAGAGGAAGTTGTGAAAATTTCACAGAAATAGGCATGATAGAATTGTTATATTAAGTACAGCTGGAAAATCCACTACTGGACTCTGTTCTGCAAGAGGTGCCAAAGGATACTCCCCTTACAAAAGCAACAAAAGCTGGTAAGAAGGATACCATCATTGTTGAGAAGCTCTCCTCTGTAGATTAGGTCTGATGATAGGAAATGCCTTATAGAATGAGCATTCTGACAGCAACAAGGGCTATGGAATCCCAAAATAATAGGACCACATGGCAGCAATTAACCATTGAAGCAAGGTGGGTACAATCACAGCAAGATTGAAGTTGCAGCCAAGGGGGCTTGACCTACAAAGAGCTATCAAATGGTTAATACAGCAATAACTCCCTAGAGGCAAGATGGAGTACAGATAAAACGGGTATTGTTCAATCTAACAATCACAAGAAATCAAGAATGGAGAATCAAGAGATATGAAGACCAATGCTCCCACAGGTCATAATCTTTTGCCTCATTTCTGGACTTAATCCAGTTTTCAAAGATAAAACTCACTGATTAGAGACAGCAAGTCTACCAGAGAAAAATCCTGCAACATCATAGTAGGGGTCTATGTCAACATTTCTTCAGCCTCTAAAAGAGGATATAGACATTTACTTGGGTAGTCGTATACTGGGGAGGCAGAAATATCCAAACATTCTGAAGACTACTGGACAAGAGTCCAAGTTGATCTGTATACCCAAGGTCCTGGGTATGAAGCAACATCTTGGTGCCCTTTTAGAGTAGGGACGTACGAAGTCCAATTAAAAAAATAAAGTCCTGGGCAGCCCCGGTGGCGCAGCGGTTTGGCACCGCCTGCAGCCCGGGGTGTGATCCTGGAGACCCGGGATCGAGTCCCGCGTCGGGCTCGCTGCATGGAGCCTGCTTCTCCCTCTGCCTGTGTCGCTGCCTCTCTCTCTCTCTGTGTGTGTGTCTCTATGAATAAATAAAAAAAATTAAAAAAAAAAAAGTCCTGGGGATCCCTGGGTGGCTCAGCGGTTTAGCGCCTGCCTTTGGCCTGGGTGCGATCCTGGAGTTCCGGGATCGAGTCCCATATCAGGCTTCCGGCATGGAGCCTGCTTCTCCCTCCTCCTGTGTCTCTGCCTCTCTCTCTCTCTCTCTCTCTCTGTCTATACTAAATAAATAAACAAATCTTAAAAAAAAAAAAAAAAAAGTCCTGGGCCAGGCCCGGTTCACAGAGAGTCTACTGGCCTCACAAATCCACCAGAATTAATTTTCCTGCTCCCTAATTGTGTAATTGGAGTAAACATATCTAGTATATTCAGCAGAACTCCAGTTATTGGTTTCTTGGCCTGTTATGCAAGAGCTGGCATAGGGAGGCCTCAAGCCCAAGTGAAACCATAAACCACTCTCCCTGTCATATCTAAATCAAAACCAATGTCACATTCTCAATTAGGTGATATTAAACGATTAATTTTTAAGTTATGGTAATGGTATTGTGTTTATGTTTTTAAAAACTATTACCTGTTTACATGCCACCCATACAGACTACAGGAAGCCATGGTGGTAGTCCCTAAAATATTGCCATTTAATGAGCTCCTACAAAACCAGACATTATACTGGAGATAATTCTGGACTACCACAAATTCAACCCAGTGTATCTAAAAGCAGGGATCTTCTGATCTTGAGTATATGACATATGGCCATTGATTTGGCAAATGAATTATTTTCCAGCCCTTTCTGAAAATAGAATCAAAAACTGTTTACATTCACTTGGTAGAGTTAACAGGGCTTTTAACTCCTCTGAATCCTATCCAAATGTAGTGCAAAGGGACCTGAGCCATATGAACATTCTGCAGACCACTTGGTTCACTCTATCAATGACATTGTGTCGAAATGGGTGTCAAGAAATGGCAAGTACGTTGGAGGTTTTAATGAGACAGAGGGTGGGGAAATAAATACTATGAAAAAACCCAGGATGCCTGGGTGGCTCAGTGGTTGAGTGTCTGCCTTCAGCTCAGGGTGTGATCCGGGATTTCTGGGATCAAGTCCCACATCAGGCTCTCTCCGGGGAGTCTGCTTCTCCCACAGCCTGTGTCTCTGCCTCTCTCTCTCTCTCTCTGTGTGTCCTCTAATCCAGAGTACAAACCAGGATCCATAGAAAGATTATTTACCATCTGGTGAGACACACAGGTGTAAGATCATCCCATCCTATAACTCCTAGAGTCTCTGAGAAGTCATAAGCAGCTGGATTATACACAGGGGATGAATATAGTAATATATTATTGTGGGAACATCATGTGAGGAGTTGGGATCACTGACTTCCCAGCTAATAGCCATAAGCACTCCAAGACTGCTGCCTGAGAACAGAGGAAGCAAAGGAGACATGGTCACAGCATCCCAGGGTACAGGGAGTCCAGTTTCCCCATTTGGTTGACCATGCCAGTGGAAGACAAGGCCAGAAAAGGGAGCATGATGTGACACGAGGGGATATCTGAACCAAAATATAATGTTTATTGATTTTCTTTTAATCAAATTCCTCCAACTCTATTACGGCTTGAAAGTTATTGGGGGTGGTGCCAGCTACTAGGCTATCCAGTGAAGATGAGTTTGCAAGGCAAAGAGCTTCTTCATCCAGATCCTTCCTACTATTCACATATCTAACCTCAAAGTTGGCTGTGCCTGAATACCTACTTGTTTCTTCTCTCGTCTTTCTCTTTCTTTTTCTCTTTCTCTTTCTTTTCTCTTTCTTTTTCTTTCTTTCTTTCTTTCTTTCTTTCTTTCTTTCTTTCTTTCTTTCTTTCTTTCTTTCTTTCTTTCAGGAAAGTTGTAGTCTACAGTCTACTATGTAAGATAAAGCCCACAAGCCCCAAGGCAACCCCAGAAAGAGTAGGGTAGATGGACCCAATGAAGGAAGGTCATGTAAGAGTAGAGGACTTCTTCCTAACCATGTAAAAGGTCAAATAACAACCATTCTACTCTCCCTTCCTCCTCATCTTCCTTTTACTTTCTTCCCCTTTCAACCTATTTCATGTGTCCTTTTTATAAGCTAGAAAGGAACCAACTAAAAGTCACTGTGAACTGAGGAGATAACGCCAGTAATAATGGAGGGCAATACCCTTGAAGTAAAGACAAGTAGCCTTCCAAAGAAAAACTTGGTAATTGAAGCTACAGTATGATATTTTCTTTCCAGCACCAGTCAAAACAGTAAAATTCATGAAACTTTTTCCAATTCTCACTCACCCTCAACACTCCTACCTCAGATAGCCAGTATTTCCTTGCAGCCCTCTTTTGTCAAAAATGCTATGCTGGTCAGCTCATCCCAGTGCTTGATCAAAAAAAGTCATGTGAATAAATAAATAAATTGGGAATTAATTGATGAAGAATATATATACTCCCAAGTTATCTTGCTTTACCAAATCAAAACTGCCCTTTACTGAACCCTGCTTACTATTGATTACCAAAAAAAAAAAAAATCTTTGTAGTATGTAGTATGTCTTAGTATGTTTAACCTTCCCAGAGGGTCCTTTTACTCCTAAGGCAGACCTTTCTTTGTACAATAAGAAAAGCCATAACCCAAATCTCTTGAAGTCAATAACTTGTGGAATCTATGGAGTTTTATAGCATGTGGCCATGGGACCTACCCTCTCCCCCACCGTCTTTTGCCGAGTGGCCCTGTACACCAAGAGGCCTTTCACCAGTCACACAGAGAGAGTAGACATAAACAGCCACAAAGTGAAGAGGCTATCTCTTTCCAGGAACTGGATAATGGCCTAAGAGAGCAACACATTTCTTGTTTCTATGTTGCCTTCCTGGGTTGAGTTCTGCCCAAACACAATAATGTGTCAACAAAAATAGTGCTACTCACTGATTTTCTGCTGAGCAAGGAATATGGCAAGCCAGGAGTCCTCAGGAGGGGGTTTTAACAAAATAAGAAGTTTTTTGTGTTTTTTTTTTTTAACCATTGACCATGAAATTCACTGTACAAGTGTATCCATCTCCCTTAAAACGTGCCAATACCTGTATTAAGACCCCTGCCTCTTGCAGGGAGTTCTACAACTCCGAGTACCTCTTAAGAAAAGGGACCTTGAGAAATAAGGCCTTTCAGAAAGGAAGAGACATACTGAGCACTGGATTCGGGTGAGAGGACTCATCTACCTCGGGTGCTTATGAAGGCCTGGGGAGCCTCCTGTGATGGCCATGAGGTGCTGGGCCCCTTACCTTACCACACTGCTTACATTTTCCCTCCTGCCGACGCCTGTGCACCCAGTGATGACGCACAAAGTTCTGTGGGAAAACAAAATTAAATGAGTATGTTTAGATTGGCAAACCTCATTATTAGTTTTTTAAATGTTAAGAATATAGATTCCCATAAACCAAAACCTAAGCCCATATCAGCACAAAACCAAATATGTGTGTGTATGATTGGTTTAACAATAAACATGAATCCACTTAGAAAACTGAACCTACTCCCATGCCCAGCCACCTTCCATATTTATAGAAACCATTCATTGTGTCCTCCTGCCATGTCTTCCTCATGGCCACAACATTGTGCTTTTACTCTGCTTCCTTCCTAGTAAAAGGCTATGCTGATGTGGGAAATAACGGAAATATCCTCAGAGAGGTAAGAAGATGAGGGAGATAAGATGAAGCAATAATATCCATTTTTAAAAACAAATATGTATCAGGACACCTAGGTGGCTCAGTGATTGAGCATCTGCCTTCAAGTCAGGTCGTGATCCCATGGTCCTGGGATGGAGTCCTGCATCAGGACTTCTCCCTCTGCCTGTGTCTGTCTGTCTGTCTCTCTATGTCTCTCATGAATAAATAAAATAAAAATCTTTTAAAAACTTATAAAAATAAATATGTCTTTAATGCTTTATATATGCCAGGCATGCACTGCACCTAACATCCATGCTAGATAGAGCTTCAAGAAACTGAGTTCTCAGAAAGAAACAAACCTCCTCATTCAGGACATACAGGATGAGAATTTTTCACTAGCTAAAGTGAAGGGAAAGAAAAGCTGAAGGAGAAAGATGACAGAGGCAAGAGATGTGGCCCCATCGTGACATGATGTTTGTGCAATGACATTATGCTTAAACTGTCGTTGGGTTCTAGAAACTAGATCTGCTTTAAAGTCTATTCTCATCTTTGAGAATTGGCCTTCCCAAATAGACAATCACTTCTAGGCCGGGAGTTAAGTAGCCCCACTACTATTGCTGTTAGGATATATTATAGGTGAGAAAGTTGTCTTCAAGCCCTATGGCAGAAATAAACTTACATATAACTCATCCTTCTTAGACCAATATACAGAAATTATCTCCTTTTTTTTTCTTGCCCTTTCCTGAGAAAACACTTGACCAGACACTAACATGTCTATCATTGGGCTACAACCCATATTTCTCCCTTTAAAAGGCCCTTAAATGTATATTCTCTCACTCAGCAAATACTCACTAGATGTCTACTACCTGCTAGGCATCGTTTTAGGTATACAAGCATATAGGAAATAGATCCATGTTGAGGAAAAAAAAAAGTTCTATCAACACATGAAAGTGAGAGTAACAAAGACACCTGTAACAGACATAAGCATCAGTTCTACAATGCCACCTCTGTTTCTCTCTATAATGTCAAATCGATTCAAGTTATAGATCCTGAAGGAATAATGTTTTTTTAACTATAATACGATATAAATAATTAGTCGGATTTTTTGTCTGGCTTTTCCCACTGAGGCAGTTTAATAAAACAGGGACACAATTCTTATATTGTTCTTAGAAAAAAGTTAATAATAATATTTTTGAATACTAACTTGTGTCAGGCACTTTTTAAAATGCTTTAAATGTAATAATGATTTCAATTTTCATGAGAATTTATATGAGTAGAGGTGCTATTCAGTCAGTACATACCAGAAAAATCCCATGAGTCATTAAAATATTGAAACATTCCTATACTGGTTGATAAATTAGTTTAGTTCCCTGACCATCCCGTGGCTCCTCCCTAACTACCAGAGCACCCCCACCTCACCTCACCCCCTCAATATTGGAAACCATTTCTACCCTTATTATTAACAAAAATGTTAATTTTTGGCATAACAGGTCTCTGGGATTCTGTTCCAATGAGTGGTCTTTTGAAAACAAACCACATTGCCTGAGCAATGCCATTGGGTTCCCCTAGCCCCCTAGAAAACTAGGCTGCCCAATTGATGGTGGCTCTCTGTGCAAGTTTAAATATCATACAATGTCGGGTCCCCTGCCTGGTTGTGGCTTTCAGAACAGTGGCAGCAAGTCAGGAAACCACCCAGTAATCAGTGTCCATACCACTTACAGTGAATGAAATTGCTGGACCCTGTACCTCTCTACTTCACAGGTGAGGCTGATCATTTCAGCTTTCCATCCACTCAAGTGATGAGAACTCTAGCCCACTGCCTGCTTAAGAACAGGGCTGGATAGGACTGGGCCAGCTGCCAACAGTACTATATCTCAATTCACAACATTGTAGGGCACGTTATCAGAGGGTGTTGCTTGAATTATTATTATCATGCTCCTTTCAGAGATTGTAAAACTAAGTTATGGAGCAGTTACTTCAAATGTAAGGGTCAGAGCAAGGATTCAAACCCAGGCAGGCTGGCAACGGAGCCTATGCTCTTAACCACTATGCTGCTATGCCATTCCTCTGCTCTGAAAGCTCAGGATCAAGCACCTTCAATAAATGATATCAATGACAGTCAATAGTAGAAATATTGAATGCACAGAAGTGTCACACAATACTATAAGAGAAAAATTTACTGTAATTGCTGTTAGTTTAGCAGAAGCTGTGAGAAAATGAACAATATCATTGATGATAAGGGAAATTCTCTGCTTATGGAGATTATAAATCACCTAATGACTATCAATTTAAGGAGGGAAATGTTGGAAGAATTTGATGCAACTGCCTATGAAATCTGGGTTGAATCATGGGGTTATTTAGCTAGTGACAGCTCTAATCAAAAGATTAAACCAACAATTTCCAGAAATCAACAATTATTTAGAAATTATAAGACTGACTTAATGAATCATTTCTTTTGCAACATGTGTCATTTGGTAAGCAGATTTATAATACCACATAGTTTAATCTGTTTAGGGAATAAAAGGGAACACTTTTAAATTGTTTATTTAAATATTAACATATGACTCAGGAAGTTGTTAAATATTTTTAATATCATTCTTCCTAGAAATTGGGTCACAGATTAAGGCACAGCTAAAGTAAGTGAAACAAAAGGACTCCTTGAGAAAAAACTGAGTAACTGTCTACCATCTGTAGCTCTGATTTGACAGGTCAAGGATCCCTCTATGAATAGATCTTCTTAGGCCTAACATAAATTCTTTCTATTGCTGCTTTAACACAGTTTGGACAAACATCCAATAAATATGTGTTGAGTAGAATGGAATTCTGAACCTAACCTTTTGATGACCAAATCATATAGTTACCATATAGTTATGGATCAATTGCCGTATTAATCGGGGGAAAAGCCCAGTTTCTATGGAATCACTGCTGTTTTCTGATCCTAAGTCCCAAGCAATTTCTTTTTTCACCATCTTTCCTTTTGATGTCACATCTCCTAAATTATGGAGCAGAAATTAGACTTGAAATCCTTACACTGAAAATGTGAGTGTTGACATACTGCTGTTAAGATAGCAAAGCAAGGCTTCTAACCCCATGACATCTTTTTATTGCTTGTCAATAATCTCTGAATTATTCATACACTATCTTCAAGTACTGGGCAAAGAAATAGCTATTACTTATGGGTGTTAAAATCTGAGTGATACATTAATTCAGGGTTTATATTCAGTATTGTTAGCAGACATTCATAACATACTTGCTCACTTATTTTCAAACACTAAGTTCAATTCCTAACATTATTCATAGAAAGCTTGAAAGAATCTTGAAATTACAACCTAATCTACATAGCATATGGCTAAGAAAACTGAGGTCCAGAAATATTTCACCTAGAGGAGTCCAACCAACATTCATTAACAAACTTCCACGTGTCAGACATTCCACAAAGTGTAAGGTACAGCAATGAACAATCCCTGCTCTAGGTCTTTGCACTTGAGATAGGACAAAGTGGAAAAGTAGTAGAGTTATGATTTGAACTCAGGCCAAACTATTTCTAAGGTGACTGTTCTTCCATTGACATTCGGTAAATTACCCGAGGTCTCTTAATTAAGAATCTCCAGTGAGTCATAGCCTACCATGAGTTTCATCTTCAAACTGTCCTCTTAGAACAAGAGTTCTTAGGCATTGAGGGAGAAAGTAACTCCTTTATCAATGCTTTCAGTCAACGGACAGTCAACAGATTACATCCTCTATGTCCTGGTACAGTGAGTTTGGGACAAATTCCATGAGTGACCTCAAATTCCATGAGTGACTTCAGGGGGGCAACAAACAAGCAGAGGAGTACTACCCATAGATAATTATGACATACAAGGTGCTCTGAAGGGGCAGAACACGGTGCTTTGATAAAGAACACTGTGTAACCTATTCAGAGGAAGTAACCTGTTCTGGAGAGGTAGGCTGGGGCAAGACTATGCAGGGCTTAGTCTTGCAGAGACAACTCATGCAGAGACAACTCATGCAGAGACAAAGAGTTGGGTTATACTCTAAGTGCTATGAAAACTAGTGGAGCATTTTAAGTTAAAAAAAAATTACAGGATTAGATTTCTGTTTTAAAGATCTCTCTTCAATCCCAATGGATTAAAGGGAAAAATTAAGGAATCATGAAGAAGCTATTACCATAGTGAAAAGACATCATGACGTCTTACTCTAGGGTGCTAACAGAAATGAAATAAGTAGATGATTTGAAATATATTTTATAAATAAAATTGTTAGGGTTGGCAAATGAATTAGATGTGTGGAATACATCAGAGAAGGAATCCATGATCTCCCAGTCTTTTTGACTGAGGAGCTGGATCAATAGCCATCTCATTTTCTGACGTGCAAAAAATTAAAAAAAAAAAAGATTTTATGGTGATGTTCATAAAGAGTTTAGTTTTAATGTGTTATGTTTGAGATGGCCGTGATACATTCAAGGGACGTGTCAAATGGAATTCCAGGAAGTGTGGACCGGAACTGTAAAGTTAGGAGTTGTCAGCTCAGATGTGATTTTTAAAGCCATGAAATTGGATGAGCTCTCCCAACAAGAGTGCACTGAGGGAAAATATGGCCAAGTACCAAGCCCAGAGGATTACATAGGAATTGGGAGGAGTGAACAATGAAAGAGTGGGAAGGACACTCCAAAGAAACAAGGGGGAAAAAAAAAAACAAAGAAACAAGGGGAAAATTAGGAAAGAGGTCATGACAGGAGAGAAATATAAGAATGGTGGAACATTGAATAATTTGAATATATTTGAAAGAATAAATATGAAAAGAACAGAAAACATCTAATGGATTTGGTAACTGGGAGATTCTGGCAACATTGAAAAAAAGCAACTTCAGTGAATGGATAGAGTGGAAACCAGATGAGAACAGGTTAAAATGACTAGGTAGTGATATAATGAAAACAATGATATAGACAACACTTTCTGGATGTTTAGAAGTGAATGCAAAACTGAGAATCAAACAGCAGTTAAGATACAGATGGTGGTTAAGAAATATTTTTGTTTTATTTTTAAGATGGGAGATGTCAGAGCATGTTTACAGTGATGGAAATAATCTAGAGGACTGGTGGAGAATGGAAGAAATATCAAGTCCTTGTTACAAAGACAAGAGCAGGTGTTCAAAAACACTTGTGGAGGAAGGTCTGGCTTCACAGAAGACAAGTGATACCACTACTAGAAACTAAAAAAATATATAAAACCCCTTGCATTAGAAAATAGTACCTATAAACACAATCTAGAGAGAAAGAGAGAAATGAAAGGACAGTTAGCTAAACGTAGACATATGGATCCTGGGTTGGAAATTCATTCAGTTCATCTTAAAAACACAAAACTATTCCTTCTACTGTCCTATAGGAATTTCTCCCTTCACTAGAACTCTGAGTTCTCTTCTGGCCAATGCTATTGTGCACTTGGATGGCATTGAGGGTACCCACAAGCCTATCACTCTTCTTGCACTTTCCTCACCCTATATATGGCCTGTCACCTTCCTGTTGCTGACATAATGGCCAAATACAGTGGGAGAAGACAAGTGAAAGGGACAACTATATTTCCCCTCTCCACAATCTCCACTCCCAAACTACCCTCCTCCCATGTTTTCTCCCAATCTTCTTGTATTTGTAACAGTAACAATAAGATCATTCTTTTTTCAGTGTCTTCTTCATTATCATTAAGATGTCATTGACCCTCTCCGTACTCACACTTCTCTGTTCCTTTTCTACACATTCATCTATTCTCATAACTTTAATTACTATCTATATGTGCTAGTGATTCACAAATGTTTTACCTCTAACCCAATCTTCATAGGCTCCAAACTCATATACCCATTCAACTTTCTACTGGGCATCTCCAACTAAGACTCAAGGACACTGCATGCTTGAAAATTCTACATCTAAACTCATCACCTTACCTCCCCAACTCATCCTCAGATCAACTCATTTTCCAATGTTTCATTGGCTTTCCAGGCCAGAAGACTGATTTACTCTGGGCTCCACCATCTCCGTGTCCAGTAGCCAATCAATATTACTCATAGTTCAGATCACCACTAGAGAAGCTCCTTAAATTCTCTCCATGCCTCCAATATGGCTGCTCTTGAACTGTATGGTATTCCCTCCACACTGTAGCCAGAATAATATATTTCATTTAAAATAGTTTAATGCCCCAGGGCACCTGGGTAACTCAGTTAGGGTTCTGACTCTTGATGTGGCTCAGGTCATGATCTTAGGGTTGTGAGATCAAGCCCTGCATCAGCAGGGAGTCTGCTTGGGATTTTCTCTTCCTCTCCTTCTGCCCCTCCCCCATCTCTCTCTCTCTCTAATAAATAAATAAATTTTAAAAAATAGTTAATGTCCCACCTAAATTACCATGATGATAAAACAAACTTGTAGCACAGTGACAAGGACTTTTGTGTCCCAGCCCCTGCTTTATCCCTCAGATTTCACGTTTCTGTTATGTTCTTTCTCATCTTTGAGCTTGGAAGCATGTGCTCTTTCTGTCTAGGAGGCTGTTACCTCCTAACCACCCTCCCCCTACACACACCTTCACTTAGATAACTCCTCTGGGTCTCAGTTTGCTTGCCACCTCTTCCCGGAAGCCCATTCTCTCTTGCCTATTTATCAGTACACAGAGCTAGTTTGAGGAGTGCACCAGCTGGGAAGATTTCCAAGGGGCTAAATCTATATGTGGAATTGAAAATAATCTCATTGGGGAATGTAAGTGAAATGGAGAAAGTATATTTTACAAAAACGACACATCGCACTTTCTCTTACGGAGAGCACCATATACAACGGTAACACTTAGGCACCTAAACAATTTTCTAAGAAGGATGGATTCTGTTCATTACAGCCTGTTGTTTTGCCAATTGGAGAGTGCAATCTGGGGCCTGGAGCTGGGCTATCCAGGATAGCACAGGAGGGCTGAGACCCTCTACCAACCGTCTCACCTTCTCTAACTTCTCCTCATGTGCTCAGTCTCCTCAAAAAGAGCTACACAAACAAATATGACCAAAGTGCAGCTCTCCTCCTGTCCTCCCGTCTGCTTACCACCAACAGAGCAACTGCTCTTCATTATGATTTCCTCTTTAGCTGTTTGTTTTCACAACTGGGCTGTGAGGTTAAGGACTAAGCACTGAATGTGGTTCTTCCATTTACCTACCTACCTACTGACTTAACAGGTGAAAACACTGCAGTTCAGAAAGATTAGGTACGATGTCTCAAATCACACAGCATCTAGACTGGTATAGAAATCAACCTGGCTCCAGTGTTCGTGGGAATACTCAATAACCATGCAGCCCCCTGAAGAGCTTCTACCCCCCTCAAAATTGAAAAATGGAATTAAAATGGACCAAAAGACAATAAAATGCTATTTACTTCTTACCTCTTCAAGTTTACCACTGCCTCTCCACCTGCTCATGAAAACCTTAGTTCCCCAATGCATTTCATGAGAATAATAAAAGGCAATATACACATGCTGAAGAGACTGCGAGATTCTACTGATGGTATTTATTGATGTATTAACGAGAAACCCATGTGGAATGGAGGGAGCTAGACCTGGTATTTAATCACTGGTGAATATCTATCAGTCCAGTAAGTCAATGGGAAATAAAGGTGGTATTTAAAGTTGAGCTCTGAAACACTCACTTCTCTTGGTGATCTTGAGCCCCCTTCTCGAAATGTTGGCTTACATCTGAAATTAATCTGTCATTTAAAAAGAAAAGTGTATTACATTAGGGATACGCATCAGACTAGATTGACTTACCTGAACAAATCAACAGCGACACATATTGAGACTACAAAAGCCCCAAAGAATAAGGAACACAGTTTAACACTTGAAATCATCACCTTACATAATCTATACAGATCCCAGGTGATCCTCTATCTCTAATCCACGTCTCTTTATTCTCATTGATGAAATCAACATATCTTTAAACAATAATCCCCTTACACTATAAATGTGAGAAAAAGATAAAGAGTAAAGAAAATATCTAAGGCAGCTGAAAAAACCCAGTTATGTTTCAGATTTTAAAAGTAGGACAACATAAACTTGAGAAATATTTAATATGATGATGATGATTCACACACAGAAATTTTTCTTCAAGTCTTCAGTACTGCCTTTTTTTTAGATAGGCAGGTCTCCTGGTAACATGTGCATCTTCTTTAGTTACTTGATAAGGTGAAAGGAGTATAGAAATGAAAGAGGACATAAGTAAATGGGGTTGGAACAGCAAGAAGAAAAAAATATGTATATGTATACATACATGTATAAATGTTAGTAGTCCTCCCTACAAAATAGCAGCTAGCAATAATCGGTAACATGTTCATGAAAATAATGAATGTTGCAGGGGATGAAAATATTTCAACACGTTCACACATGGCAGCTCAAGAACATATAACACAGACACTCACAGGTGGAAAGAGAGGAGAGCAAGAGGCCAACAGACTACTCACAGCTGGAACCTCCCCTTTCCTGCAAATACCCAAATGGACCGCAGAATCTACTTCTTCCAGAGGCAAGACACCAGGGAGATGTTACTTCCATCCCACCCACACATTCATGCTGCCCCCCAAGAAAGGACAGAGAGCTGGCTTCTGGCCGGGCTCTCTTCCTTGTAGCTACTTTAAGAAGAAGAAATTCACAAAGGTCAGACGAATCTAAACAATGATTTTTAAAGAGCTTATAGATTTTTTTCTTTAAGAAAAAAAGATTCTATGGGTGGAAAATTCTATGGGTGAATAACAATTTTGTCACTGTAAAAAAAAAAAAAAAATTGTGTGTACCAGGCTTTTCTCTCTAACCTCACCATTCCTCCTCCCAAGAAGCAACATAAAATGATATCGAATTTTCCTTCAGCAAACAATAGGGCGAATTAACCTTAAGCACTGCTTTTCCATTACTAATCTGGTAACAATGTTGGTATTTCAGGTTTTTTTTAAAAGGGCATTGTTTCGAAAAAGTTGGCAGTAGGAACTGACACCTGGTCTTAGAAGCCCAAACACTTGCAATGTAGCCCACGCTGCAGCAGGTGGTGCTCTCTCACCTTCTCTAGCTGTTCAATGCAGGCAGCGTGGACGACGATTTTACAGACCGCACACTTCCTCCTCAGGGCCGATTTCTACAACATTCAATTCAAAATACAAGAAGAAACATTAACAGTCTGTTCTGAAAAGTCCCTTGGCATTAAAGAGAATATACATAAAGAAGACAAACATAAGCAAATTTAAAACGTCATCTGGAACATTTGATAATATGGCAAGCTTCAAGCCCTCAGCCCACCTCCTACCTCCGTATCTCGATGACTTGGGGTGAGGGTGGGGGGCTAGATTTTCTCTCCAAAATGTAATACTTATGATAGCTGCTATATATTGAGCATATAATATGGACCAGGCTCTTTCTTCTGTCATTTCTAAGTTTTATAACCGAACAACAGAAGCATTAGTATCCTCCTCTTTTGTAAGTTTCTTTTTTTTTTCCTTAGTAGGTTTCTTTTTGTTTGTTTTTGTCTTTTTATATTTTTACTCTGCTAGTTAAGCAGCACGACTAACATGCAGAATTAAATCTAAATTCAAAACAGGCATTCTTTAGTGACTGCCAGGAATCGACATTTCAAGGGGTCAATCACTTTAGGCTTCTATCCCAGGCACAAAATCTCTACTAAGCTACTTGGGTCTTTACCCAAATCTTCAGCAAAGTAATAAGAGCTGCCTAACACTTATACCTGGTAATACCAATAGGCAGTAATAACAGGAGCAGGAACAACTAACACAAATGTAGTTCTCACTGTCACTCAGACACTCAGAAGCACTTCACGAATAGCACTCAGTTAACCTTCAACAACCCTAAGAAACAGGTAGTATTTTTTTTAGGATTATTTTTTTATTTATTCATGAGAGACGCAGAGAGAGAGGCAGAGATGCAGGCAGAGAGAGAAGCAGGCTCCCTACAGGGACTCTGATGTGGGACTTGATCCCAGGACTCTGGGATCATGACCTGAGCCAAAGGCAGATGCTTAACCACGGAGACACCCAGGTACCCCAGTGGGTAGTATTTTTACTCCTATTTCATAGATGAGAAAGCTACAGCATAGTAAGTGATGCACGTGAGGTTTCATAATTAGGATACTGCAGAGCCAGGGAGTCTGGCTCCGAGCTCATGCTTGTCCGCATTATACAGTTTGGCCTGACAGACAGTATAGTTTCAATGCACAATAAGAATACTTTTGAGGTGTATTTTTCCTCTAACAATAAAGAAAAAAATGAGCAGCGGGGTGAGAGAGGAACAGGTGGTATCTTGATACTCCAATGTCATGTAAAATCCAAGCTGGGAATGTTCAGGCCTCCCTACAAAGCACACTCTAGAAGGTAGGTCTGCATGAATAACTGGAGTTTGAGCACTGAAAGCAGCTTAATATAACAAAGCTAATCTGTGAGACAGTGAATCAAAGCATCCAAGTGTGAAAGGCCTGAGTCCTTATTCTCAGGAAAGGTGCTAGTATAGATTACTGGCAAACTGCTCTCTTTTGATGTGTGGTTTCCCCTGCTGAGATATAATTTTTGAGCCAAAAATTGAGGTATTGCTGCTACTGAAGAAAATTAGAAGGACTGCAAGCCACCCCCTCGGAAGGGGCAGGATCAGGAATGCAAGCAACTCTAGCCTGCTCTGTCCCAGATGGTTCCATGTGTTCAACATGGGGTTTGCATGGTGCTTTGTGCCTTCCACAAGGCACCCAGAACCCTGCAGCATCTCAACTTGCAGTCTAGACACCCACTGACTGAGGTTTAGTTACCTGCTTGTAGATGGCTCTCCTCTGCCTGAGGAAAGAACATGGTCTGGAACATTAAGTAAGTTTGACAATCAATTGATTTTGCAAAGAACAAAGGATAAGGGAAACCCAAGCATCTAGCTACACGACTGGAAAATCTCAGCTCTATTACTGAAAAGACAGGAGAGGGAGGAGGACGAGGGAGGGGGAAGGGAAGCACAAACAGTGGTAGTAGTAGAAGCAGCAGCAGCACTCAAAGCAACAATAGGATTCTAGTTTGCAGAATGCCCAGGAGCAAATTCACGTTTTTTCTCCCCTCTCCTTCAGATCTTCTGGTACAGATCACTGATGCAGCCCACCTGCAGAGAATGCATGGGGCAACTGAGTCATATAGCCAATCAGAGTTGTAGTGAGGCTATGGAAACTGGAATTGATTCCAGCTTACTCATCATCCACAAAACCCCTGGTAGACTACACTGCAGACAAACACAGCAACTCTCCTCACAGTAGGCACCACTGATGGGTTATGATTTTTAAGCACACTGGACAAGCCTCCCTCCTTATCAGTAATTCTTGCTTCAGTCTGGCTTTGCACCTGCAGAGCTCCAGGGACTCTGGGAGGCTCCTACGAGGTCACTGAGGATTGTAGGAAGAGCACCAAGCAGGCACAAGGACCCAAGAACACTGGGTAAAACCAGAATATCTCTTCCTTTCCTTGTTTTCCGTACCAGGATTCTAAATCAGAATCTCTTTTGAGGGATACCTGGGTGGCTTAGTTAGTTAAACATCTGCCTTCAGCTCAGGTCACGATCTCAGAGTCCTGGGATCAATCCCCGCATTAGGCTCCATGCTCAGTGGGAAGACTGCTTCTCCCTCTCCCTCTGCCTGCCCTCCTGCCCTCCCACTGCTTGTGTTGTCTCTCTCTCTCTATGTCAAATAAAATCTAAAAAAAAAAAAAAAAAGGAAAGAAAGAAGAAAGAAAGAAACCAGGAAACAAAGAAAGAAAATTTTTGGAATAAGGTATCTGGGCTAATAGAGTTTGAGAACCACAAGGTTCAGACAAGCTATCTCTCAGCTTTCTGGAACAGCATGTAAATATGTCAACATCATTCATAGAGTGTAATTCAAGTGCAATGTTCTCCAGATGATAATGTAGGAAATAAAGTGCTGTAAGTTATAAAACCAACATTATTTAAACAATATTGGATCTTAAAAAACCCTCCTAAAATATAGACTTTCATGCCTCTAGAACCAGAATATATAGACCATAATCTAAATTTTTCTTTATAAACACTCTAACATGATGCATTTTACTATGAAGAACAGTTATTTTTGTTTTCTTTCTGACAGACTAGATATCCTTTCAATGTTGTTGTTGCCTGTCTTTTCTTGCCTTCAATTTCTTCAGTGACAGCTTCTAACAGTTAATAATCTAAAAAGTGGGTAAAATTCAACGTGGATCGAACTGGAGGGTATTATGCTGAGTGAAATGAGTCAGTCGGAGAAGGACAAACATTATATGTTCTCATTCATTTGGGGAATATAAATAATAGTGAAAGGGAATAGAAGGGAAGGGAGAAGAAATGGGTAGGAAATATCAGAAAGGGACACAGAACATAAAGACTCCTAACTCTGGGAAATGAACTAGCGGTGGTAGAAGGGGAGGAGGGTGGGGTGTGGGGGTGAATGGGTGACGGGCACTGAGGGGGGCACTTGATGGGATGAGCACTGGGTGTTATTCTGTATGTTGGCAAATTGAACACCAATAAAAAATTTATTATTAAAAAAATAATAATAAATAAATAAAATAAAAAGTGGGTAATTGAGGCTTATGATCATATGCAAAATCAAGCAAATTCTGAATGAAGGGCTTTTTCAATAGTAATAAAATACATGGAATTTAGTTTCTCAAGTGACAAAAACTGTTCCAGTGAATCAGAAATTTTAACTCCTGACTTCTTGGTTTATGACTATATTTTGACTGGTCAAAGTTATCCAAAATAGCTAGATGATAAGCTTTTGGGCAGAAATTGCTCAAAACATACAGAATTTTTGTGCTAGGTTATTTTACAATTTTTAACTGCAAGATTTAAGCTAAATAGAAAGTTAAAAGTGTCAGAATATAGACTTTATTTACATTTTCTTAAAAAAAACACTAAAAAAAACAACCACTGAACTCTTACTTAAACCAATGCTTCACTCTTAAAAAGTGATAAATCAAAAAAGGTCATTAAGGGATCCCTGGGTGGTGCAGCGGTTTGGCGCCTGCCTTTGGCCCAGGGCACGATCCTGGAGACCCGGGATCAAATCCCATGTCGGGCTCCCGGTGCATGGAGCCTGCTTCTCCCTTTGCCTGTGTCTCTGCCTCTCTGTATGTGTGTGACTATTATATATATATATTAAAAAGTCATTAATTCTACATATGTTTACAAATTAAAATTTTAAAAATTTAAAAACTCACTCTTTTCTATGAATTTAAAGGCTAATCAGACTTACTGCTTTGAAAATCAAGTGATTTCAGTGCTCTTACTAAGGATTTTCTGATTTTGTCAGTATTCAAAGAAAATATTAGGAGGAAACACTCGAGTCCTCAGAGCTGGCATGACAACCCCTTCTCAGTCTCCCTGTTTCGGAAGAACTTAGAGACCAAAGCCTGCTGCTGGCCAAATACAGTTTGGACTTGCAGCGTCTCTCCCTAGAGTTCCCAGGTTTGGGCTCACAGACTTAATGCAAGGAGTCACTACTTCCATCAGTTCTGTCTTTACAATGAGGCTACACTGATAAAAAGATGAATGGCCAGGGAAGGGTTCCTCTGGGCAGGAACCCAATCATACTGGGAGCAGGGAAGGAGACAGAGGAGGCACTCAGGGGAAAGGACTTAATGGAGCACAGAGTTGGAAAGAGGTGAGGGGACGGGGCCAAGGGAATGGGCATCAAGCTCTGCCTAGCAGTCTCCTTCCCAGTGATTCCTTAGCCCCTCGGCTTACCCCAGATCCAAAGCATCAGGCTGAGGAACAGAAGCTAAGTGAGGGTTGGGAATTAGGTAAAGAGTAAAAAGAAAGCAAGGCAAGAAGAATTATATCCTCCCTTCTTGCTCCCTTTCAGACACAGAACTCAGTCTATGGGGCGCTTTGGTGGGAGGGGCCACCAGGAGAGGCAACAGAGCACAGGTAAGGCCATCTTTTCTTCCTCTCCAAGGAGAGAATGGAATGCTCAGTAAAGAAGAGGGAGGAAAGCTCCTAAGCCTTTGGAGTGTCAGGAATTCGGTGTCCTTTCAGTGGGGATTGCCTCTATGGGCAACGTGAACCAGAACACTGTTGCTGTGTAATCCAAGGTAAATGAAAACAAGAGTT